ACAGCGGCGTGCTCTCACGCCACCGTCGTCGCCTCTCCGCCCGCACCGCCGCTCGCGTGCTGCAGGCAGCCCCCCCCGGGTAGCATGCTGGCGGGGCCGCTCCCCCTGGAGGCGGTGGTGCAGGCCGAGCGCGCGCCCGGGCCCGCGACCGCCGAGTCAGCGGCGGCGGCAGCAGACGGCGGGGTGCGGTGAGCCGCCTCGTCCGTCGTGATCCTGGGGGACGCGCGGCGAGCTCGCTCAGCGGGGGCGGCATGCGCGCGGCCGGGCTCGTCAACATCCTGCTCACGGGCGTCTGCCTCACGCCGGACTACAGCAAGGACAGGCTGAATAACACCCTCAAGCGCGGTGAGTGTGCCGTGCGGTGTTCAAGGTCGTTCTTCGCATTCTTCGAGTACTCGAGCGAGCAAGTTGGTTTTCACTCTTTCTTTCCGCGCTGCCGTTTTGCAGAGGTAGAACTTCTGAAAGATGGCCCGCCACCGCAGGACGTCTGCCTCATTCCCGGGAATGAGGTCAAAAACATACTTGTGGGGAAGAAGCTCACCATTGCGACGTGGGAGGTACGTACCTATGTGTAACGCGGGGAGAAGGTGAGGTCGTTCCGCTGATTCATAGGGGCGCCCTCCCTGAATCCAATCACAGAAGGGAAGGGACGCCAATCCGTAGTTGTGTATACGAGAACGAGCTGATTTGTCTCTCGTCATCGCGAAAATGACGTGAATAGGTGACTTGCCGTGCTCTCTGCCCAAATTTTGACCTCGTTTGGTCTTAAAGTCGTCAGTGTGACGCGCGACGTCCTACCGTGACTTTTACGTGTCCAGGACTGGCCGACAAGCGGGACCAAGAAGAACGAGCGCGGCGAGAGGGTTGGGGACGGCTTCGCGTTCGAGTTCGTCGACATCCTCCGCGACAAGTTCCGCTTCTCGTACGACATCATCACGCCGGAGCAGAACGTCCTGGGCGACGCCCACACCGGCATCCTGAGCCTGCTCTACCAAAAGGTAAGCACAGTCTACATGATAAATGTAAAAAAAAGAACAATTTTGTCCCAAGAGTATATTACCTTTTTAGGCACATTGCTTCGTTGGAAATTTTTTAAATATATAAATGAATGAAAATTGTATTGTTGGAACGCATTTCGCTATCTTTGTACCAATTTGGATGAAAGTTGCTACAATGAACTAGTACACTTTTTTAAGCGATAGATGTGCTTAAGGACGTTACCTTATGGGGGGGAAATTGTAAATATCGTTTAATAGAAAGTCTTGTGCCCGTGCCGACCCGTGGGCACGTGTACAAGGATCCACCCACCCCTTGAAATCAGCACGAGCTGGGTATAGTCAGTCAGGTACATGACCTGACCTGCTTACCTGTGCTCTGCACTTGCACACGCGTGACCTGCCGAAGCCTGACCCGCTCTCCTTGACGGGAGTGCCAAGTCATTCCAAAGGGGAGGTATGCTGATTGCTTCCGGATCTGGGTCAGGTCCATTATCCGCGACCCGGATCAGCCCATTGAAGGGAAGGTCTTCTCTGTGTTTGTGTGTAGGTGGTGGTGGGGTTATTATGAAGGGTAAGAGCATAGGAAATGACATGGGCTTACGTTACGCGGGACTGATAGGCACCGTCAAGAAAGAACGTCTGGTTTTCTTTGACGAATCCGGCAAATTACGGGAGCCCAGCGCCTGCGAGTCTCGGGGTAGGCCAGCCCGCAGTACACGCGTGCGCCCCAGGCAAGATGTTGCCTACCTATCAGGCGCTCTGAGAGCTTGCAGAGGACGAACTTCAGGACCGTAAGCCTAAATTAATGACGGACGCACTTTATGGACCATCCTTTTTTTTCGGTTGAAGTAGCGTTGGGAGGGGCGTTCAATATTCGTTTGTTGCGCAACCGCATCCTCCCCCTATGGTGCTGCTATGTTCTGCCTCACGAGTGCTGGAGCAGCCAGGGCGGGAGGGAAGTCCGTTTGTGCTCGTCTCGTTCTCGCTGCGGCGCACCAGCGCCCATCTGAAAATGCCATTCGGAGGAGTGCATAACTCCGACAATCCCTCCTTGTACCTGTACAAGAGCAATCTCTTTCCAACCCGTCTTCAAACAACCTTTTGAATCTCGCCGAATTTTTCAAATCCCTCCCATGGTGGAATCAGGCGATTCGGTGCTGCGTGATGGATCGGGCACCCATTAGTGTTCCATTGTCCCCCCCCTTTTCCTCCTCCCCCACACAACGCCGAATTATTTGACGCTGCAAATCGGCGCCACTCAACGCACTGTTCGATCGCCGCGCGCGCCCGTCCACCCGTTCCGGACGGGGCCAGCCGGCTCTACACTGTAATATGAACACTGGAAAAACAAAGGTGCGAACCCCTGCCTTTAAAAGGCACCAACAAAGTTTCGTGACGTTTCACACCTCAAGCTGGCTAATTTCATATGAGTTCCATACAAGTTTAGTGCCTTTGGCAAGGCACGAAACTTTAGTGCAGCAGGAAAGGCACTAAACTGCGCCCTTGACTTTAGTGCCTCACTCTGGAAACCCAAGTGAGTACTTGAATGCAGAATATTCTGCATACCTACATGTATGCAGAATATTCTGTGTACTTGGTCAAGTACACACTAAAACCTCCATATATTTATGCAGGAGACTTAGTGTGTACTTGACCAAGTACACAGAATATTCTGCATTCAAGTACACACTTGGGTTTCCAGAGCAGGAAAGGTGTTGTTTAGTGCCTTTGCTTTTCCAGTGAAGTTCTATAAAACTTTCTTACAATTGACCAAGTACACAGAATATTCTGCATACTTGA